TTTTAAGGTTTTTATTTTTTTCCAAAAAAGGTAACTCTGTAAACCCTTGTTTGTTTTTTAATTTAACTTTGTGTGAATTATGACCCCACACTTTTTCTATTGCCATCATAATTTCCCCTCATAAATTTAGGGTATTGGGTCATTTTTTTTATAAAAGTTTTGGGTCATTGTGACTGTAGATTGTTATTTTACTTATTAAAAAAGAATATAAAATTTTAAGAGGTTTTGGATTGAGGATTGGTTATTTGTATGTTTTATTCATTTGTTCTTTATAGTTATAATGTCAACTAAATGAAGAATTATAGTAATTAAATACAGTTGTGGATTTGATAAAAGTTATTTTGATAAATTTTTATTAGAATTCAAGATGGCTGAGCATGTTCTTATTTTATAGTTATTCCTAGAAATCACTGTTTCTATTTGTTATGAATTGATCAGTTGATAGAATATTAGATTAATGATAATCAAGGAATTGTAATATCTACACATGTATAAAACTATTTATTTCATGATAGTAGGGAATGTTTGAGATTTATACTTTCAGGGCTTGATGTGATATGATGTGTATGTTGCATGATGTATGATACATGGTGTTTGATGTTGAGTTAGAATTATATATAGTGTCCTCTACAAATTAAATTCACGAACCAGTAACCCTTAGTTTTGTTCTTTAGTTATACAAGGCAAAAAGACATTTGGGTCACAAAAGTACTTTGTGACAAAAACCACAACAAGCCTCAACTAAAGGTCATTATTCTACCTTTCCAGTTTACCTCTCCTTAGCAGTGCTTAATTTTAAATTCACAAATATAATTGTCTACATAGGTTTTGAGTAGAACTGCCAAATCACATACAAAGCTTTTGAGTAGAACTGCCAAAGCACATACATGGGTTTTGAGTAGAACTGCCAAAGCACATGCATGGGTTTTGAGTAGAACTGCCAAAGCACATAAATGGGTTTTAAGTAGAACTGCCAAAGCACATACATGGGTTTTGAGTAGAACTGCCAAAGCACATACTAGTAAATGGGTTTTAAGTAGAACTGCCAAATACATACATGGGTTTTAAGTAGAACTGCCAAATCACATACATGGGTTTTGAGTATAATTGACAAAGCACATACATGGGTTTTGAGTAGAACTGCCAAAGCACATCCATGGGTTTTGAGTAGAACTGCCAAAGCACAAAAAGCAAGATGTCACAGTAAAAAAACTTTCAACTTGTTCGGGAAGAAAATGTGTAAGCAGCCAGAGCTCCAAGTCAGTAGAGCTGCAGAAAGAAAGTTGGAAGGTTCTGGGTTTAATTATAAGCAAAGGTGCACATTTTTCTCACTCTGAGTGACATCCTAAGGCATATATGAAGGCTTCTAAATAGATCATGCCTGACGTTAGCTAAAATTGTTTTAAAAATAACTCACAAGAGAAAGCAGGTATAACAATGATAAGTATATATTCATTACATACTTTTTCAATTTGTTGTTCTACAGATGTTAATGAATCTTGCACTAACACCAATCTATTCTTTTCTTGTTTAACTTCTATTTCATGTGTGTAGCAATTCTTCTCATATTCTGTCTTGTGCTCAGTTAATTGCTTTAGCTTCATTTGAAGCTCTTCAATCTCCAATTCTATTTCCTCCTCTTTCTTCTGTATGCTGGCCACCTGGTGCTTGTCTTGATTCAGTTTCCGTGTAAGTTTCTGAACATTTCTGGAAATATTTTCAGATTCTTCCCGCAAAATCTCTTGCCTAGTCAACAAATTTTGGTACTCTTCCTGGTAATTTTTTCCATGAACTGAACTTGAAACTGAAAAATGCAACACATCTCTCATAGCTTAACAAAACAACATGAATAAAATGGAATACAGTATGGAAAAGAGTTGTGTCAAGGCAAACAAGGGCTTTCACACAGACAAATCTCTTGAGAATTGCAAGTACTAATAATACAACAACACCAGTCATTAAGTGTATCAAGGGGAACAATTTAGTAAAAATCAATGCTAGAGTTATGTGTCTTGGTAAAAAAGTTGGTTAGACACCTACAATTATGATGCTGATATTGTTTGCAAAGGTTCATGTGAACTGAATTTCCATGCAGTATTTTGACAAGTGTTAGCCAATGCAAGGGTCTGTAGTACAAAAGATTTGTCTGTTTTTCTTCTTTAGTAAAGCTAAAACAATAACTGTCGGAGGACAGAAACGCTCGACTATTCAAAAAGTTCTCACAAGGGTATTTCATCGAGTATAATTAATGCTTACTTACATGAATACATAAAATTGTCCGAAAAGGTACAAAGGCTTGTTATTAAGATGTTTTATCCAGGAATTCGAAATCACTGCTTTATTATTATGATTCCATAAAATTGTCCCAAAAAAGGCACAAACCCTTCAGTAGTTATGGAGATACCAGCTTCCAAGCAAAGCCTTTACCAAGAATTTCTAAGCTGAAAAAGGGGCATAATTATGAAAAAAACAAATCAAGAGTTATGGGACTTATGCCAATCATGTTGGATAATAACAGCAAACAAGTATGTGAAGTTTCAATCCATTCCCTTCAGTAGTTATGGAGATACCAGCTTACATGCAAAAACTTAACCAAGGATTTCTAAGTGGAAAAAGGGGCATAATTATGCAAAAAAACAAATCAGAGTTAAGGGACTTATGCCCAACATGTTAGATAATCACAGAGAACAAGTGTGTGAAGTTTCAATCCATTCCCTTCAGTTGTTATGGAGATACCAGCTTACACACAAAAACTAAAAACTTAACCACAGGGACGCCAACAAATGGGTGACTGCATTAGCTCGATTATTCTGCAAAAAGTCGAGCTAAAAAACTATATGACAGATGGTAGAAAATGTCATTCCTATTAAATTATTCACAACATTGCTATCATAGCTGCACATTAAGAGCTATAGATGGCAATGGTTAGAGCATTATCCTCTTCTCATGATCTATTTTCTTTTATATGAAAACTAGGAACACTACTGTGCTAACAAATTTCAAGACTTGCATTAAATACAAAAAGCAAATATGACTTATGAAATCAAGCTCATTTCATACATAAAATGTGCATGTCACATGATAAAAGAGTAAAAAAGCCATGTTACATGATTGTTTAGAGAACATTTCATCAAAAAAATGATTGTATAAAGAGGTTTAACATGTGTTTGACTCAGTAGGATAATTATAATAATTATTATGATTTGCTTGTTTTCTGTTTGATTTGGTTAAAGTCACACAGACACAGTATAAGTCAAATGGCCTGATGTTCCAGCTTTACTGGTGGAGGAAGACCTCACGTGCCTTTCCGTGCATTATTTCAGGCATGAACAGGCACCGGAGTAGAACACTGACATTTCCTTAGCTAGCTGGATAGCCTCCTCACATGAAATATTCCAAAGTTCCTGTTGGGATTCGAGCCCAAAGGAGTGAGGGGCAAGAAGTTTGACCTTAACCACTCGCCCAATTCCTACTTTTCATGATAAAGATGGCTAGCACATACACATGGTTAAAGACAAAATGAACTGTAATAACTCTGTTAACTGAAGCACAAGCTAAAGTTCAATCTGAAAATTTTAATTTGAAATTGCAACATCTTAGCATGTAAAATTCCAAATAATCCAATATTGTGAAATTATAGAAGAATACAAAATGAGAAATACGATAGATATATTTAAATGATTTTCTTTCTTTCACAAACCTGTTGATTTTCTAGTTGTCTGTCTATGTGTCTGTTTGGTATGAAAGTTGGTAATTATTTGTTGCAGCATAATATTGAGCGTGCTGGACTGAACAGCACAGCCACATATTGCACAAAATTTAGTCTTCTTACTGCATGTGCTACATAATGTATGACCACATGGTATTAACAACATTGGGCTTGCATTTGGTGGCATCTACAATGAAATATAAATATAACTGGTAAGACATTTTAGTTGTTGTTAAAAATTATAAGAAAAAATCATTTTTGAAGCTGGTATCAAATAAATTGGAGTAAATGTGATTTTGTCTTGAATTTATTTTTGTGATATGTGAAAAACAGTTTTATATTTACAATAATTTAAAAACTGTTTTATGACGGGAATGACAAAAACGTTTTTACTACTAAAAGAGAAGAAACAACATAAACTTGGCTAATATATGTACATGTTTTTTAGTAATATATATATATATAGCATATGTTTAGCATTCTTGTTAAGATACGACAAAGAAAGACAAACCAGTAATATGTTAACCTGTTCAATTACATTTCTTTACTATATACATTACCATTAGTTTTTCACAAGTTGGACACACATGACTGGACAATTCTTGTTCAGCTGGTTTATCCATGGAGGTTTCATAAGTGTAATCTATATGAGAGTTTCTCTTGTAATCACTGTTTGTTTGTGCCAGATCACCTTTCACTCTTGCTATAAAACAGGAGAAAAATAATAAATAAATCACTAGTCATCCTGCAAATATGTTGCCTCTATTAAGCTTATACTTGTACTTGTTTACTGTATAAAAGAAATAAATTAATTATCATCAACAATGATTTTATACTAAATAAAATCACTGTGTCAAGTTCAGATGCGAGGATTTATATTTTACTGCATATCCAATGACAAAGAGTGATTTCACATGTATAAATTGATAAAATCACTGCTAGGGATGTAATATTTTGATTCTAACACAACATCAACAAATAAATGCTGCTATACATGTATCTGATTTCAAGCAATATTGTGCCTTATTAGTTTCCAAATTAATTTTGGCATATCACATTTTTAATGGTTATATCACATGTATAAAAATAGATCGTTAACGGTGATTTTACTGCATATTTACACACACTTTTGGTGCTTCAATATAAATGCAGGTTGTGCTTGAATCAGATTGTGCTATCATAAAGCTAAGATTTCTTTTAACATAACTCAGAACATGCTGAATTTCTTAAAATAGGGATATCAAGATGAAAATTTGAAGTTGGTCAGCAAACAGCACAGAGCCTGGTCAGACTGCATGGATGAACCGATGTGATTTAACGGAGATGAATTCATATATAAATCTAATAGTATCTAATAGTTATACATGTTTTCATATCCATTTCCATAATCATCAAGATATATGAAATAATAACATGTGATATTTGTTTATATTTATGTTATCGTAACTCAAGTTTGAACACAACTTTTTGCGTAAGCAGAACTTAGGTATTTATTTGCGTTTCACTTTCTTAGCTAGGCATTTGCGTGAGTTTAAACATACTGTAAAGCTCACTTATAGCTGGTGTAAATTGAATGATCTGTTAAGTGAAACGCAATTAACATAAATTTATATTTTGCATAAGTTCAAATTTAGGTAAAAAGATATGCAAAACTTACAGAATGTTAATGAAACACTCGCCTGTTTAAAATAAACTTATAACATTGGCTAATCACTTTCAGTTTCAGCAGGGAAATCAGCTTATGATGCATTAAATAATGCATTTCAGTGAGTAAGTAAAGTTGCCTGATCACTGTTATTTGTTGGTGTGATTTTAAACTGAACCCAAAAATTAGATATAAAGTAGTATGAAATGACAGTTTAATGGTAAAGAAATTGACTGCAATTTAGTCATGTGAAGGTATTGATTATTTGATAATTAAAACACTACCTATTATATCGTCAGCCCTTGAATCAAAGTCATCAGGTGATAGTAACTGTGCTGCAGTAATCTCCCCTGTTTCATCATCACTATTCCAACTAGGATCAGGGGTAGCAAACTCTGGTGACCTTGTACTTGGAACACGTAATACATTAACACTGGCCGAACCTTTATGGTCCCTGTATGGCTGGTCATTGTAAAGATTGTCAGAGTATTTATCACTGTTATATAGATTGTTGTTATGGTTGGTATCTCTGGGTGGGGTGTCATACACCTAAAATTATAAATTTACTATTTCAGTGTACTGATAAACATAGCATGTTGTCCCTTTGAGGTTAAAGTTACTTAATTGATGAATTTATTAACACATCAAGTCAAATTATATAAAATTATATTATTACATATTTTTATATTATATTTTTTAACTCTATAAGCATTTAATTCAAAAGTTACAAAATTCTATCATTAATTTTATAGTTCCATATCTAACATTTATTTTGTATAATTCAAATCTTATATGATGCATTATTTTTTTGATCCTGTGAAATATTTAAATTGCATCTCAAGAAAATAACTGAATTCAACTTGTGTAAAAAGTGGGTTCCATGTGTATGTTATCACAAAAATGGTTTGCATGAACATTTTTATTTAACAATGAAAAATATTTATTTGGTAATTTAAATCTTGGGATGGAACATAAGATTTTAACACTGGATTATCATTGGGTATGAGTTTACAGCATAGAGAGTTATTAAATTAAATTTGAAGCATACAAAATATATATTGGATATAGAAGAACAAAAGTCTGAGAAAAGTGTATGTAAAGTATAACCTTATAGTTTCCTAAACAATCAAACTAAAATAAATTCTGTATGAACCAAAAAGGTAGAGAAATAAATTGCAATTAATACCTCAATATTTCCTCCTGACTCTTTTGCCTTCAACCAATTTTGAAACTTTGCCTTTGATTTGTTTGATGACATCAAGTTTTTGACAAGTGATTGTGTATCAGTTTTAGGTGGTTTCTCATGGAATGAAGCACTTTGTGATTTAGTTGTTACTTTTTGTTGAGTCCCTGCTGTAAAAACACCACAGATATTGATTTCCACAATAAAATGTCATTATAATTTACATTTTAGATGTAAAAGACATTTGAAGAATAAGTGTGTAAGCATTTGGTTATTCAGGTCATTAAAGAAATATTTAAGTCTGCCAAAAGCTTAAGTCTTCTACTTTAAAATTCAAGTAAAATATATACATATGAGTTCTAAAGTAATCAAAAACTTCTAAAATGTTTAAAAACCAAAGAATTGTCCTCAAACTTTATTTCAAAAGTGAAACTATTCAATATTGTAGTAATATCTTTTTTTATTTATATAAATTAAATAAACTTCATATAAAACTCTCATTAGAATTTCCCTTGATATTTTAAATATGCAATGCTATATGAAATAATAAGTATAAAATAAATACTGTATATAGTTTAATAAACTGACCATCCCAAATAAATGCTCCCACCTTGAGTTATTGATACAATACATGTAGTAGTTTATTGTAAATCCAAGGAAATAAGTACAATTTTAACAGTCAGGAGGGGGGGGGGGGGGTGGTGGAGGGTTCAGGGGGGGAGGGGGGATTTATTTACAATAATCCAGATACTACCTGATTTAGCAATGCTGGAAGTTTCTCTGCCTGGACTGTTTCCATGACTTTCTGCTCTCTGTTTCATCCAGTTTTGCTGACGTTGCTTGATTTCTTTAACCTTTAAGATACATAAGATATAGTAATATATAAATAGGATCATGGATGTATCATGTATGTCACGAGGGTAGTTACTGACATGTTAAATGTATTGTTTGTACATATGTCTTATGTATTGTGTCATTATATGTCCCTGTACTTTTGTCAATTTGTTATATAGTATGTGTATATCATATAATAATAAATCATCCTATCATTTGCATATAACTTTTTCCTTTTGCTATCCTATTCACTCATTGCAACATGTAACTCTTAATGTCATTCTATAATCCCTAACAACTAATTTCTTCTAGACATATGTGTTTAATTTTTGAGGCATGGAGGAGCACATGACCTGTTTTGGTACATGGAGTAGCAATTGTGACCTGTAAACCATACTTGATTGGTTAATCAACATTGTAAATTTCTTTAGAATAAATTAATAAACTCTATACTTCATGCACATATGGTACATGTAGTTTCAAATCAGAATACGAAAGAATATTCAAGTGCTATTAAAACACTGTTTTGGTACATGGAGTAGCAATTGTGACCTGTAAACCATACTTGATTGGTTAATCAACATTGTAAATTTCTTTAGAATAAATTAATAAACTCTATACTTCATGCACATATGGTACATGTAGTTTCAAATCAGAATACGAAAGAATATTCAAGTGCTATTAAAACATTAAAAGAATTAAATGTAAACATGAAAATAGTATTGTAGTCTGAGTATCATCAAAACGTTTGCAAGGGAAATCTTGTACGGTATCTGTATCTGGACGATCAGGGTGTCCTACTAATCAACACTTTCTGGTTTCTGGTCTTTGATGGTCACCAGTCTCCAAAGACTTTCATCTATTGATCAATTAAATTGTCAACTATAATATTCTAGATACAAACGTTTTTTTTTCCGAACAATTTTGAAAACAGTTAAATAAGATATCATTAAGTTATTAAAACTTTCCCAGGCAGAAAACCTTTTAAACTTGTTTACCTTTGGCATGTCCAATCATTTCTATCATATCTTAATATTCCTCGACCATGTTTACATTATATCAATAGTCAGTGATTTTCCAACTTATATAACAGACTCCGAAAAAAGACCTCTTCCCAATTGAAATTTTCTTTAAAATCATGAAGTTTTCCCAAAAATCTGAACTTAAACCAGCTTTCTTACTTCCCAAATCAGCAATTTTAGCGATAATTTTTCCCAAAATCAAGAGGCTAAGGCCTCTTCCCAATAAAGTAAAAAAAATCACTGATAGTATGTCTATGTCTGTTGCGGTTAAGCAAATGTCAGAGCACCTTTACCAAGATTAAATAGCCACACTTGAGATGCCTAGATCATTTGCTAAGAATGCCCAGTGAGACAGTATTACACTAGACACCACCATGAAAAAGGAAGCCAGGAAGACCTCGGACAACCTAGCGGCAAACCCTCCAATGGGAACTTTAAGAGCTCTGATACACATGGGGACAAGCTAAGCTAGCATCTGGCAAAGGACAGGGAAAATGATGAAATCTTTTTGATGCCTTATGTCCCAGCTGGGATGAAGACGTAAGTAATGCTTACGTCTCTGCGAGGGGTTTGACATTAAAGTGGATTCCACATGTCCCTGCGAGAGGTTTGACATTATAGTGGATTCCACATGTCCCTGCCAGAGGTTTGACATTATAGTGGATTCCACATGTCCCTGCGAGAGGTTTGACATTATGCTTATAGGATTCCACATGTCCCTGCGAGAGGTTTGACATTATAGTGGATTCCACATGTCCCTGCAAGAGGTTTGACATTATAGTGGATTCCACATGTCCCTGCGAGAGGTTTGACATTATGCTTATAGGATTCCACTGGAAGAGAGATATTAGTGCCTTTGGAAATAAACTTATGTGTGTTAAAAGAAAATGTTAAAAAAATACATTTTATGTTTAAAATCAGACATTTCTTTTGTTCCAATGTTTGCAAAGCTGCGTGCTGGGATTCCTAAGGCTATGCCTGAAAAATTATATCCGAAATTTTATACTATCCGAAACCATTAAGTATGTACAAACCTTTTCTCTTATTTCTTGTTTTTTATTCATCGTATTCAGCTATTTCCTTTGAGGAAATCGTCTTTGATTGTAACTTTATATTATTCGGCAAATTATCGTAAAAAAACTGGATGTATAAACCGACTAAGCTCTAAATTTAAGAATAAAATATTTGTCACCAATGTAAATAAAAGGTCGACAACTCTGTAGGCATCCGGATGACTAGAAACACGAAAAAGGAGCTTTACACGAAAAGAACGTAGCATTTGATATCGGGGTATAATAATGTAGTGTCGTTCGTGGAAGGACAAATTCTATATTGTTAGTTTATTCTATAAAGAATAAAACCTGTAATAGAACAAATATCAATAAAGTTAATAACCTAAATCAATATCTAAATATCTAATTTCTAAAACAATAGAAAAGTGGGAGTTGGAGTGGAGTTGACCTGCAAGTGTCAAGTTATCTACGTCACAAAAAGGAAACATCCCAAACCAGTATTACCTTCATGGAGTCCTATCAGAATCGGTTACCTCAGCTAAATACCTAGACATGGATATATCAGAAACCCTTAAATTGGATGCCCACATAAATTTAACAGGACATCCAAGAAAACAAACCAAACCTTAATTGTGATTCCTAGGCAGTTCTTAACGTAAAGATTAAATCCCAATCCAATAAGTCAGTTGTTTACCAGACGTTAGTCAGACCCCATGCAGCTTGAATATGGCTCTGAAGTTTGACTCCCCCCCCCCCCCCCCCCCCCCCCCCACACACACACCAAAGAAGAGCAGCTCGGTGGATCAAGCTAGATTATGGTCAGACCTCTAGCGTCACGGAATATTAAGCTTAACACATTAAGCTTCGAAAACTGAAACTCAGACTTCAGATGCTAGATTATCCCTGTTCTACAAGATTCACCACGGTCTGGTTGCTATTCCTAAAGAAGAATATTTACCCCCTCTCACGAACATATATATATATATTTGTGTCAAGAATATTATGAAGTTGAAAATTTTAAGTTTAAATGATTTTTGAAACATTGTTATTATATATCTTATACCTTAAATTTGGCACAGACACTGGTTGAAGGCTCACTCCTCTTTAATAAAATATGATAAATTGAGCAAAATAGAAAATGGATGAGATCATTTAATTTCTTCTAAGGAACATAAACGAAACTTCAAAATATGAATTAGAATACAATCCTCCCATCGGGACCAAGTTTGATAGCCAGAAAAGTTCCTCAACCTGTTTCTTCTTAATTATGAGAGTTTAAATGTGTCACAGGACATATCTGCCTGCATCTGACCCAACTTCTAAGATAAGCCATTTAGAATCGGAGTACATAAAAACTTTAATATCAGCTCATGTATTTGACTTTATTATGATCGTAAACAACATAATATGTCTCCATTTTATTCAAAAGAATTTCCTTTTTTTATTCGAAAATAAAGGTTAACAACATTAAATTACTTTAAACCTTATGCAGTCATTGAAACTCAACTATAAGCTCTATTAATCACTAAACCAATATGGTTGTTTATTTTGAATAAAGTGGACATAGTTGTTTAGCTTGCACGCAGTCTGCGCATAAAACATCAAAATTAGTTAAAAATTTCTATTAAATTGAACTGCTTCAATAGATAAAAGATAAAAGAGTTGCAATGAAGACATCCCATTAATATTTTTATAAACCGTTCGAAATAGATGTTTTGTTATTTATATGATTAAATATAATCTACACTTTCAACAAAAGTCCTTATAATTTTCAAGTTTAATATCCGACAGAAAATCTAATAAACGAAAGGTAAACGACTGATCATTCACTGATTTAAAAGGATTTTAACCTTACTTTATTAGTGATTTTATTTTGCATATGAGCAACATCTGTTTATTTTTTTTTATGATAAACTTAAATCACCAAAGCGTTCAAAAAAACCAAGCAAAATACAAAGTCAGTATTGAAAGTCAATTTTTTTGAAAAGAAAAGTGTTCAGTATTGCTCAGTACTTGTACTTTTAAGTGATTGTGAAACGCGTTCACAGGACACAAACTTATCTATTTTTTAAATGACTTCATTTAGACTCAAACCCATGATTTCCGGCTTCAAAACATACGCATTAACCAAAAAACAGCATAACCCATAAAACAAATATGAGCCGCGCCATGGCAAAACCAACATAGTACGTTTGCAACCAGCATGGAGCCAGACCAGCCTGCTCATCCAAGCAGTCTGATCAGGATCCATGCTGTTCGCTATCAGCTTCTCTACTTGTAAAAAGGTTTGTAAGTGAACAGCATGGATCCTGATCAGACTGCGCGGATGCACATGCTGGTCTGGATCAATGCTGGTCGCAAACGTACAATATTGGTTTTGTCATGGCGCGGATCATATATTGGTAACCGAAGTATTATAGTAACATCATCAGGACATATAATATAACCATTGACATAAAGCATTGCAACTAGAAAAGGATACCAAAGGGAAAATGGCACACGGATAACAAGTAAAAGAGGGGAGTCACATTTAATTCAGAGCTTACATCTAACCGCAACATTTTTGTATCTTTATCTTGAAAATTAGTTTTACTGGAGAGGAATTGATATTAGTATTGTTTAACTTTTTTTTCCAATCCAGTCTGAATCACATTGTTGTGCAATGTTTGTAAATGTCATTTTATGTACAATTTATTAAATAAATAAAGTTTAAACTAAATTTCCTCCTCTGAATTCGGTTGATATCTTTAATGTTCATTTGATACAACATGTCTTGTTTTTGACGAAATATTTTAAAATGTGTTATTTAAGCATTATATTTTTTTTTGAAAATAAAGCACGTGTTTGTTTTGGGTCAATAACCATTTATTGATACGTTAATTAGGAAGTCTTCCAAGATGTAAATAACAATATCATCACATATGTTTTTTCTTCTTTTTTTTTCATTACCAGTAAAACTTAACAATTTAAACACGCTTGTGGCTGTCGGGTAACCTTTAAGAGTTGGGGCATCAGAATTTCAGCCACCGTTTTTCCCTGCGTGATCGTAAGAGGCGACTAAATGGGTTCGAATAACTGACGTCTATGCAATTATTAGCTCCAGCAAGTAAGGTGGTTTTTTTTACCCCGGTGATTTTTTCAGTGGTTAGCCATTATCATCTTTCATGTTTCGGCGCCATATGCCATGCATTATGTTGGTGCGCTGTAAAACCAAACCAAACAAATAATAATTAAAAGTATATAATATAAAAAAATAAAACAAACATGTATTTTAAACAATTGTCTTCCATCGATTCACACCATTTACATTTGATTGACGATATAACTTATATGTTTTATAGGTTATATGGCCTTTTGGTTCATGTGTATGTTTAACCCCTGAGATTATGTGTTTGAGTCTCAATAATGTCACGTCAAAAGAAATAGATAAATTCATGTTCAAAAACACTTAAAATTACAAGAACTGAACAGTACTAAACAATTTTCTGTTGTAAATGACTTTCAATATTGACTTTGTGTTTTGCTTGTACTTTTGAACGTTTTGGTGATTTAGATAAATCATGTATAAAAGATATTAAAACATATGTTACTCAAAGGCAATAATCACAAATAATGTAAGGTTAAAATCCTTTTAAATAGTTGAATCAACTGCCGGTTACAATTTGTTTAAATGATGTTCTGATAGATATTAAGCTTGAAAATTAAGGACTTTTGTAAATAGTGTAGATTATGTTTATAATAATTGTTAAGGTAGCACTCCACACTAAATTTCAAGTTTCTGCCGTCAATGTCCTACAAGCAATATGTCTGATAAATCTGATCCCAAACTATTTCACCGAGCATGCTGTTTAAAAGCAAGGTTTACAAACAATGGCGGCCTTGACATCTATAATTATCAGCATGTGATTTCTAACCATGTTTTCGAATTTGCCAATGATCATATTACATGTCACAAAAACAGATTTGATGCTGAAAATGCATTTGAAAGACAACCAGTCATTTAAATCCACAATAGTCACTATATCCATGAAATCCTCCCTGGCCATTCGTAGCTGTGGCTTCATTTAGTGTGGTGTGCTGCCTAAATAGGAACACATCTACTTAGAACTGTTCATAAACATATTGGTGTGATGTCCTCATATTATCTTTACCAACAATTAAATTTAATCATAAGTCCAAACCAATTGTGAGGTTTCATGCGCAGACTGTGTGCTAGCTAGTCAATCATGTCCACTTGATTCCAAATAAACAACATTAACAACCATATTGGTAAAATAATTGATAGAACTTAGTTGAATCCCAAGGACATGATAAGATGAAACGAGATTTAGGGTTGTTTAACTTTATTTTCGCATTAAAAAGGGGAAAACTAATTTGAATAAAATGGAGACATATGTTGTTTACGATAATAAAGCCTTGAGCTGATGGTGTAACTTTTTGTACTCCGCTTCTAAATGGCTTACTTTAGGCCGATATGTCCTGTGACACATTTAAACTCTCATAATTAAGTAGATATAGGTTGAGGAACTTTGCTGGCTATCAAACTTGGTCCCGATGGGTGGATTGTATTCTTATTCACATTTTGATGTTTTGTTTATGTTCCTTAGAAGAAATTAAATGATCTCATCTATTTTGGTCATTTTATCTTATTTTGTTTAAGAGGTGTGAGCCTTCAACCAGTTAGTTTCTGTTTCCTATTTAAGGTATAAGCTATATGAATGACAATGCTATTTAAACTTTACTATATAAAACTTCACAATACTCTTGACACAAATACCTAAAAAATTACTAATTTGTTTAATAAAATAGTGTAAAGTATAAGAAAAGAATGAACATTCTTCAGTTCTGCGTTAGACATATAATGCATTTAATCTATTTTTTTGTAAATATGGTCATATAAAGGTTTCTGCATTTTTTTCACTTTTGATCCTTAAGCTAGTTCTATCTTAATTATTTTATTTTTCATGAAAATATTGACTGACAAACAAACACAAGCCGTTACGTTGTTTTGATCTTCAATGAATATTATATTAGCATATTGCTCACCATGTGTTCAAAACCGGATAAAATGACAGAAATTTATTATAAAAAATACATAAATATACTTGCTTTGTATGAGTTTATGAAATGTTATAATTCAATTTCTTGATCAATACTGTTGTTCTGAAAGTTAAACGAAAACATGTACAACAAAACTTTCATACTAATTACC